CTTAATGATATGGCTTAACGCGGGACCATTCACAGTAGAAACCATGCCCGGCTGCCAGTTCACATGCAAATATAAATAAAGTAGTTTCCTTTCATACTCTGTTTAACTTATGTGCGAGTTTTTCAGGCTAAACCATTCACCATGGAAACAATGCTTAGCCTTAGACCAAAGAAAATCCTCCCTCTGAATGAACAAGAATTTAAACCCCTTCAAATCAGGCAAACCCCCAGAGTTAACTAGAGTAAATAGAACATTCACAGTAGCAACAATGCCTGGTCCTCCAGAAAACAAATAGATAAACATAGCAACCAGACCATTCATAGTAGAAACAATGCCTGGTCCTTCAGAAAACAGCCAAATAAACATAGCCCTGAGCCATTCACAGTAGAAACAATGCTCAGGCTTTGGTTGACCCTTCCAAACGCATGCAAAACTACCTTCCTCCCATCTTCCCCCAGTTCATTCCTTAGTCTGCTTTCAATCAAAACAAAGTAGAAACTTAGGTTTCACTCTCACACGTTCCTTTCATTCAGTCTGATTAGGTCCTGAAGAGAAAACAATAGTCATAGGGACAAAACTCATGCTTACATCAATCATACTGCAGGGAGATAAGCAAACATGGGTAGTAGTGGATTATACAGAAGAAGTGGTTTACCCGATGGTTCCCTGCCTCCAGAACTCCTCCTGAGTACCGGCAGGGCTCCCGCAATCGGTGGGTGGACTCGCCACAGAGTCTTGACGCGGACCTACGGGTTGCAATCCCGCCTGCCGCCTTCCTCTCAGAACCAATAGACTAGACTTGGAGTAAGGAGGGCAGAAGGAGAAGGTTTTCAGACTCTCAGATCCAAGGATGGTGCTCTCAGACTCGCAAGAGAGGGCCTTGTTATCTTGGTTCGCCTGAGGGTCCTGCAATGATGGCCAACTAGCGACAGCGGTAGTCAAACTGTTGAAGCCGATCCTTTGGATGACCTTTCGGATCGCAGCACTAACCCCTATTCTGTCCTGTCTGATCGCCTCCTCAAGAACCCAATGTCTCTCCCTAGCCCAATTACGGTCGCACAACACCCTGTAACAGTCCTTTAGACCCCGCAGCAGCATACAGCAGCAACGACAGGATACAGCGGCGGCCAACAAACAATAACAGCAGCAGCCCGTGCCCAAATGCGGCAGGCCAGCTAACAGTCCCTCAAGATGCCGCAGTAGTACTCAACGGCGATCGACAACAACAGCAGCGATCCCCAACAGCAGTGGCATAGAAGTCCGTAGTGAATATGGCAGTTGCTGCTGCAGAAACACCACTGAGGCAATCTGTGATGCACACAGCAACCAAGCGATCCCGGACGCTGTATCACCAGGGACGTATAGTTGAGGGCGTCCCCTTAGACACGCAGTATCCACAGTGATCAGAGACCAGTTCAACTGTCTATGTATAACTCCACACAGCGCCCATATGATCCTCAAGATGGAGGCAACCAAACCAGCGCAGCAGCCTGCAGTAACCCGGCCGGGTTGTACCATAAATCGCAACCCGAACAACAAATACACAGTCATCACTAAGGTAAGAGCCTACTCTGAGCAGTCAACAGGGTGCCCCATAACAAAATAAAGAGGACCCAACAGTGCTCAGTGCCGTAAGCGGTGGTAGCCTCATGCTTCAGGGAGGTACCCTGTCCTACGCATGCTGACCATCAGACAAACCGTAGCTCATCAGGTCTTTTCCCTG